CAGGAAACTCGGAGGGGACAAATCCGGGGGACGGGCCCTGCGCCCCCTGACTCGTCTCCTTCCGGCCAGACATTCAAGGACCGACGCTGCAACACCCAGGCGGAGCTGCTGGCCGCGGGCTGCGGGCCGGAGAGCGTGGTGGTCATGGAGAGCAGCTTCGAGATCACAGAGGTGCCCGGGCGGGGTCAAGGGAGCTGGGACCTCCGTGCTCACGGCGGCTGTGTGGGGTTCCCTGTCCCGGGCTGGGCGGAGAGGGACCATCAGCTCTCTGGAGTGACCCCCTCTGCCCCCTCCCCCGTCACAGGAGACCCAGATCGACACCACCCTGCGCCGCAGCCAGGTGTCCCCCCAGGCGCTGCAGGTCCTCCTGCGGCCGGGCGAGGAGCGGCTCTTCGAGCTGGAGGTGTTCGAGCCGCTGGAGAGCCCCGTGGACCTGTACATCCTCATGGACTTCTCCAATTCCATGTCCGACGATCTGGACAACCTCAAGCAGATGGGGGAGCACCTGGGCCCGGCCGGGCCAGCGTGGAGGACGGAGGGGCGGGGGGGGGGCAGGTGCCTCACCCAGCCCGCTGGGCACCTGCTCAGAGGCCAGGGCTCAGGACAGCTGTCCCCACCCCACAAGGAAGGACAGGACATTAACCCCCCCCCCCGAACTCCCCACATTCCCAGGGGAGCATCCCCAGGGTCTGGGACTTAGAGAAGGCCGCCTTCTCCAGCCGGCCCCGTGCAGGGCTCTGGTACCCGAGGCCCATGGCCCTCGACTGTGACTGGGGACAAAGGCTCCTGGGAGCATCACTGTGTGTCCACCGAGGTCACCTCCTCTTCCCGAGCCAGCCCCGGCCCCCCGTGTTGATGTGGGGGTGCTGAGGCTCAGCTGCCTTCTCTGTTCCCTGTTGATGCCCAGCCCGGGTCCTGAGCCGGCTCACCAGCGACTACACTATTGGATTTGGCAAGTTTGTGGACAAAGTCAGCGTCCCCCAGACGGACATGAGGCCGGAGAAGTGAGTGGCCGAGGGGGCGGGAGTCCTGGCTTTTGCCTGAAATGAGCGGGCGGGCGGCCTCCCAGAGAGGACGGTCGGGGGCACAAGTGGGTCTTCACCCCTGACCCTCTCCCTCCCCCTGTGCCCAGGCTGAAGGAGCCCTGGCCCAACAGCGACGCCCCCTTCTCCTTCAAGAACGTCATCAGCCTGACGGACGACGTGACCGAGTTCCGGAGGAAGCTGCAGCAAGAGCGCATCTCGGGCAACCTGGACGCCCCGGAAGGTGGCTTCGACGCCATCCTGCAGACGGCCGTGTGCACGGTGCGCGCCAGGGAGGGGCTGCGCCTGGGAGAGGGCGGTGCTGCTCCACCAGGGCACTGCTGCCACGGGCTGCTCTGGTGCCAGCCGAGGCCCCGCGTCCTGAGCCGCTCTGGGTGGCCCTCAGTTACAATGCGGCTTCAGATGTGCCGGGAGCCACAGCCCTGAGCCCTGAGCCTTGGCCGGCGAGGCAGACATGCGTCCCGGATCTCCGGAACCTTCCATGCCCTGATGCCAGTCTCCCGCCCAATCTCCTCCCTCATGCCAGTCTCCCAGGACCCACAGCTGCCCCGTCTCCAGCAGTGCTGGGCCGCCAAAGAAGGCACTTCGTTTTGTGTGCATGTCAATTTTTTCCCATTTTGAAAATAATATACCCACTTAATAGACAGTTTGGAAAACAAAGAAGAGAAGTAGCCCGTGGTCACCACGGTCAGACGGTGGCCATGGTGTCCCACCAGCATAGCTCCTTCCCTCTTCCTTATTTCCTGAGGTTGGAGTCGGTGCCCTGCTCATCTGAAACTTGCTTTTTTCCCCTTGGCGCATCTTCTCTTTTGTAATCGTTTCCACACTCGTCCCATCTGTCGTCTAACCAAGTGTCATCGCTGCTGGGCCTCTTGTAACCGGCCCTTTTCATTTAACGTTGCGTGGGGTACCTTTTCCTGTGCAGTTAAAACGTCCTGGAGGGTGGCTAAGACCTTGGGGGACAGTCGGATGGCCCTGGGGCCGATCTTGAGTGGCGCCCACGGTGTGCGCAGACCCGCGCCCATTTCCTGGCACTGGTTCTGTCTTCCATGTCGTCACTCATTCGTGATGATGGCTGCTGTTCGTCCTGTGGCCTCACCGGGCCCCCCATGGGGACCCACGTTCACCGTCACACAGGACAGCGCAGTGACTGCCCTCCTTGCTCTCCCCAGAGGGACATCGGCTGGCGCCCTGACAGCACCCACCTGCTGGTGTTCTCCACCGAGTCTGCCTTCCACTATGAGGCCGACGGTGCCAACGTGCTGGCTGGCATCTTGAAGCGGAATGACGAGGAGTGCCACCTGGACGCCACAGGCACCTACACCCAGTACAAGACACAGGACTACCCGTCTGTGCCCACCCTGGTGCGCCTGCTGGCCAAACACAACATTATCCCCATCTTCGCCGTCACCAACTACTCCTATAGCTACTACGAGGTGTGTGTGGTGGGGTAGTGGGGGTGGCCTGGGGCCTCACCGGCTGAGAAAGGGGCGGGTAGGGGTCCATGGATCTTCTCAGACCTCTCTCCTCTCTCTCCGTCTCTCCTCCCTCCCTTCACCCCTTACTCCCGCCCCAACCAGCCAGCACCTCCAGGGTGTGCCCTGGTGGGACAGGGAGGTCATGTGCCCACCCTCCCCCAGGCAGGCGGGGCTAAGAGGTCTGACTCTGGATGCACCAACAGGTTTCAGGCCTCAGTGATCCCATCTGCAAAGTGGGGATAACCCTGAGCTGTTACTGAGCCGGGGCCTGGCTTTCTGTCCGCAGAAGCTGCACAAGTACTTCCCTGTGTCCTCGCTGGGCGTGCTGCAGGAAGACTCGTCCAACATCGTGGAACTGCTGCAGGAGGCCTTCAACGTGAGGCGCGGGGCCCGCCCGAGGCCGGGTCCCTCCGGGCAGGGCTGGGGGGAGGCCGAGTGGGCGAAGGGTGTCCCCAGTCAGGGTGGAGAAACAGGTCAGGCCAGTGAGGCAGGGTCCCCGGGGAGCCCACCCGAGCCCTGCCGCCCTGACGCCACCCCAGTCCCCACACAGGGGCAGAGCACAGCCAGGCCCGAGGGGTGGGCCCAGGCTCCCCCGGGCCCCTGACCCCTGGCCTTCCTTTAGCGCATTCACTCCAACCTGGACATCCGGGCCCTGGACAGCCCCCGCGGCCTGCGGACAGAGGTCACCTCCAAGATGTTCCAGAAGACGGAGACGGGGTCCTTTCACATCCGGCGAGGAGAAGTGGTACGTTTTCACGGGGCCCCGGGGCGGGAGGACGGGCACAGCCCCTGCGAGGGGGTCAGCCTGAGCAGAGGTCAAGGACGTGGCCTCTGAAGCCAGACAGGCCCGGGTTTGAAGGCCCCGGGTCAGCCCCTCGGATGAGCTGGGGGCCAGGACCCAGGCACATCCCGAAGCTTGAGGCCCACGGGCCTTCAGACACGGGCCTGCCTTGGCTGACAGCAGGGTCCCTGCAGGGCACCTACCAAGTTCAGCTTCGGGCCATCGAGGACGTGGACGGGACGCACGTGTGCCAGCTGCCAGAACACGACAGGAAGGGCAACATCCACCTGAAGCCCTCCTTCTCCGACGGCCTCCGGATGGACGTGGGCATCGTCTGTGACCTGTGCGCCTGCGAGCTGGTATGACTGTGCCCGGGGCGGGAGGGAGCTGTGGAGCCGGCCCAAGCCCCGCGCCCTGCGCCCTGCGGCCACGTCCCCCTCGAGGGGCGCCCTGAGGGGCAGAGGCAGCAGGAGTGTCCAGTGGCCCTGCCCCCCCCATATACCCCACGTGTTCTCATTCTAGCAAAAAGAGGTGGGCTCACCCCAGTGCAGCGGCAACGGAGACTTCATGTGCGGACACTGTGTGTGCTACGAGGGCTGGTGAGTGTGCAGTGCCCAGCGTGCCAGCGGGCCCTCACCCTGGGCCCCCGTCTGTGCCTGACTAGGAGAGGGCACCTGGTTGTTAGGTGCGGCCCGTTCAAAGCACTTTGAGCTACTTAGGATGCAGCTGGAAAGACGTGCAAGAATCAGGACAATGGGCCGTCGGGGCACGGGACCTGGGGGCTGGGGGTTGGGGGTGGTCTGCTCAGAGCCTCAGTTTTCTCATCTGTGAAATGGGAGGGTAAAGGCCCAGCCTGGTCCCCGGCTGTGGGAAGTGACTGGCTCCTCCCTCAGGAGTGGCAAGACCTGCAGCTGCTCCACGGGCTCGCTGAGCGACATCCAGCCCTGCCTGCGGGAGGGAGAGGACAGGCCGTGCTCGGGGCGCGGCGAGTGCCAGTGCGGGCGCTGCGTGTGCTACGGCGAAGGCCGCTACGAGGGCCAGTTCTGCGAGTTCGACAACTACCAGTGCCCACGCACCGCCGGGTTCCTCTGCAACGGTGAGCTCCGCAGCCATGGTGGCCGGTGCCAGTGACCTGGGTGCCAGCCCCTGCCCTGCCCTGCCCTGCCTGCTGCTCCCCCATCAGAACAGGTTATGAGAGCCAGGCTGGGAGTCTGAATCCCAAGTTCAGACCCAGCCCTGCTCCGGGCTCCCTCGTGCCTCCTCCCACCACGTCCAGCACCAGCCTGGACCTCTACCCCCTCTACGAACTCGATGCCCAAGGCCAGTATGACGTTCCCCTTGTGTTTGAGACCCCCACTTCCCTGAGGTCCCCCCGGTCCGTGCCCACCTCCTGTCTCCACCCTCCCATCTCATCATGGTGGGTATCGCCCAGCTCAACCCTCGAGGTTACTGGGATACGGCCTGGCGATCGTGCCTCGCTCAGAGATGCCAAATTTCTACGGGCACGCCTGGAGTGACAGCCTCCGCA